GCTTCTGTGTATAGTGCTGCAGTGAACATATGGGTGCATATATCTTTACAAATAAATGTTTTCAAAATTTTCAGGTAGATATCCAGAAGAGATTGCTGGGTCATATTGTATCTCTATTTTTAATTTGTTGAGTAACCTCCATATTTTTTTACATAGCGGCTGACCTAATTTACATTCCCAATAGCAGTGTCTGAGGGTTCCTTTTTCTCCTCATCTTCTCCAACACTTTTTATTTGTTGCCTTCTTGATAATAGCCATTCTAACAGGTGTGAAGTGGTTTTAACTCCCCTATAGCTAGTAAAGTTGAGCATCTTTTCAAATATGTTAGCCGTTTGTATGCCTTTTTTGGGGAAAAGTGTCTGTTCAGGTCCTATGTCCATTTTAAAAATAAGATTGTTGCGCTTTTGTGTTTTAGTTCTTTATGTTTTTTGAATAAAACCCTTATAGGAGGTATTGTTTTTAAATCCCTTGTCCCATTCAGTTGGTTGCCTTTTTTTTGCCCCCCTCAGATTTTTATTTTTACACATTCTTGTGACATTTCGCTTTGTAAGCCTTTTAGATGAGTCCATTCTCTATATATTTTAAACAAACAGTATCGAGGCAGCCAGTGGGAAGGTGAGAAACATTTGACAAATACAGTTGTCTAAACAGCAATAAATAGGAAAAGACAGTGTCCTCACCCCATCCAACCACAAAGTTGGTTTCCCTGTCTTCAGGGTTTTGAAGGACACGGAGCTGTGGAGCAACCTGTCACAGCTGCTCCTGGGTGACCCAGAGACTTGATAACCACCAATAGCTCACAATTATATATAGGCAGATACTCTTGTGGGATATTTCTCAAAGTGTGCATTCCAACAGGGAGTTAAGAATGAAGATCTAAGATATTTATTTTCCAAAAGAGAAGTGGATCGCCTTTTTGTTTTGTCGTTTCTTTTGCTGTGCAGACCTTTGTTTGTTTATTTATTTGTTTTGTTTAGACTTATTTTTGCTTTTATTTCCCTTGCCTCTGGGATCAAGTTCAATCCTCTGAGACCAAAGTCCCTAAGTTTAATACCCATGTTTTCGTCAATGTATTTTGTTGACTCAGTTCTTATATTAATGTCTTCAGACATTTTTGAGGTAATTTTTTTGTGTGTGTGTATGATGTCATATAGCAGTCTTGATGTGGCTTTCCAATTTTTCCCATCATCACTTATTGAAGAGGCTTTCTTTTCTCTATTGTATGTTTTTGGCTCATTTGTTGAATATTAGTTGCCCATATACATGCAAATTTATTTCTGAACTTTCAGTTCTGTTCTATTGGTCTGGGTGTCTGTTTTTGTGCCAATACTATAGTGTTTTGGTTATTGTAACTTTGTAATAAAAGTTGAAGTCAGGAAGTGGAAAACCTCCAGCTTTGTTCTTTTTTTCTTTATTCTTTTGGCTATTTGGGATCTTTTGTAGTTTATACAAATTAGATAACTTTTTATTCTATTTCTTTGAAAAATGTCATTTTGCTCTGATCTTTATTATTTATTATTTTTGCTGTGGGCTTAGTTTACTCTTCTTTTTCTACTTTCTTAATTGTGGAAGCCTAGGTTATTGATTTTGAAACCTTTCTTCATTTTTGGTATACCGATAGGTGTTCAAAGTTATAAATTCCTCTCTGAGCATTGCTTTAGTTAAATGTCTTAAATATTGACTTGTGTTTCATTTTCATTCAGTTTCAAATATTTGGTCACTTTGCATTTTATTTATTATTGTTATTATTACTAGAGTTGCTATCTGTAGATGCCTGGCCAGCCCTTTCCTGATTTATTCTTGATCCATGGGTTACTTAGACATAGATTGTTTAATTTCCAAATATTTTGGTATTTCCCCAATTTATTTCTTGTTGACCTATAATTTTTTCTTTTTGTTGATTTATATTTTAATTTTGTTATGATTGGAGAACATACTTTGATGATTTCTGTCCTTCTAAATGTATTGAAATGTGTTTTATGATTGGAATTTGATCTATCCTTGAGAACTGTCCATATGCACTTGAAAACTGTGTATTTACAGTTATTGGGTTGAATGTTCTAGGTTGAGTTGGTCAATTATGTTTTCCAAATCTTCTATATGCTTGATGATTTTCTGTCTATCTGTTCTATATGTATAGATATCTCCAGCTATTATTGTTAAATGATCTATAATCCCTTTTCATTTTGTCAAGTTTTGATTCATGTATCAATATTTTGATTCTCTGATGTTAAATGTGAATATATATTTATCATTGATATAGCATACTGATACATTGACCTCTTTCTCATTATGAAATGTCTCTTTATCTCTTGTAATATTTTTGTCTTAAATTCTATTTTGTCTGATGTTAATATAGCAACTCCTGATCTTTTATGATTATTTTTGCATGATATATTTTTATCCTATTTGTATCTTTTGAATCTAATGTGAGTTACTTCTGGATAGTGTATACCTGGATTTTGCTTTGATTGGGATGTTTAGTTGTAGTTATCTTTGCCATTTTTTGTTTTATGTAAGTCTCCTGTCTGTTTTGTTTCTCTCTTCCTCTTTGCCTACTTTCTTTTGTCTTAAGTAAACATTTTCAGCATATCATTTTTATTTCTCTGTCAATATTTTTACTTTTTTCCTATTTTTTCTTAGTAATCACTGTAGGGATGAGAATATACATTTTAATTTGCTACTTCAGCTTAATACTAACTTCTAGTAAAATAGAATCTTTGCTTTTTAATATAGTTCCATGTTCTCCCTACTCCTGTTTGCTATTATTGTCATGTATATTATATGTATATATGTAATAAATCCAACAATGTAGTATTATAATTATTGCTTCATATAATTTTATATCTTTTTAAAACAGTTAAGAAAAATGAAAATAATGTATCTATATTATCTTTTATATCACTTTACATATTTACATTTTTTAGTTTATTTCTCCTTGATTATTCATTTAACTGTTTAGAATCAATAGGTCAGTCTAAATGAGATCTATTAGCAGTGCATTCTCATTTATTTTTTATCTGGGGATGTCTGTTTTCAGCCTTCATTTTTGTAGGATAGTTTTGCTGGATATAGAATTCTTATATTTTTATTTCAGCACTTTGAATATGACATTCTATTATACTACCCTCTCATCCATCGTTTTAGGTGAAATGTCAGCCATTAATTGTATTGATGCTCCTCTATACAAGGTGATCGCTTTTTATCTTGTTTCAAATTTTTCTTTGTTGTCTGTTTTCAGCAGTTTGTGTCTATCTATGTGGGATCCTTTTGTATTTATGCTGCTTGGGATTTGTTGAGCTTCTTAGGTGCATAGATTAATGGTTTTCATCAAATTTAGGAAGTTTTTAGCCACTGTTTTTTTTCCAGATATTCCTTTAGTCCCTTTTTCTCTCTCCTTTTCTTCTGAGACTCCTATTGTGCAAATGTTGCTACCCTATTTGTATCTTTGAATCTAATGTGAGTTACTTCTGGATAGTGTATAACTTGATTTTGCTTTGATTGGGATGTTTAGTTCCACAGGTCTCTAAACCTTTGTTCTTTTTCTTCATTCTTTTTAAAAAATTTTCCTCAGCTGGTTTATCTAGGTTACCTAACTTAAAGTTTAATGGTTCTTTCTACTGCCAGTGCAAATCAACTGTTGAACTGTAGATCTGAATTTCTGACTCCAGTTATTATACTTTCCAAATCCAGAATTTCTATTTGGTTCTTTTCAATAACTCATTTCTATCTCTATATTAATAATCTCTTTGGTGAGGCATGATTGTCATGCCTTTAATTCCCTTTTATTCTGTAGACATAGTTTCCTTTACTTCTTTGAACATATTTATATTAGTTGACATAAAGTTTTTACCTAGTAAATCCAACATGTAGGCTTCCTTAGGAATAATGTTCATTGACCATTTCTCTTTCTCCTCCTCTCTCCAATACATTGCTATGTCTGTGTATCATAAATTTTTGTCAAAATTTGGATATTTTAAATTATTTGATGTGGAAATTTGGGTATTCAGATTTTCCCTTCCCCTATCCTGAGTTTGTTATAGTTGCTGTTTGTCGTTACTGACTTTCCTGGGCTAATTCTGCGGCCTTTATTCTTTCCCATGTACAGTCATTGAAATCTTTGCTTGTTTATCTGTATCGTCAGATAATGATTTGAGATGTTTTCTTAAATGCTTTAAACCAGCATGTCTTTTACCCTTTTCCAATGGGCATTTTGTGTATTGGGCCATGCCTTCCACGCTCTTGCAGTTTATAACTCTGCCTTAGGCTTCACTTCCTGCTTGCTCAAAGTCTCAGAGTCAAGCATAGGTGAGAAATTAGGGCTGTCAATCTTTCCTGGACATCTGCACAGCCTCCCACATGCGCATGGCCTTTTAGATCTCCAAGAATATGTCAGAAATTATCAAAGCCCACTATGGACATTTTATGCCTCTGATTTTCCTTTTAAGTTTTTTTGTTTGTTTGTTTTGTTTTGTATGTGCAGATTTTTTTATTGTTCCAACTGGAATCACTGCCTCTGGCAAATACAATGTTAAACAATTGCCATGGATTTGAGGGACAAACTCCCTGTGGATATAGGGCTTTTTTCAGTAAATGAGCTGTGAGTCAGATGAAATAAAGATTAGCTCCATGAATGGGACTTTTCTAGGGAGCACTAGTCTGATCAAATAGTAACACTTCTTGGGGGTAGGGCTTTTGAGGGAGCTCCAAATGTATTTGCCTCCTCCAGTGGCTGCTGGACTTATGGCTTTTTTAGTAATTAGGATTGTTGCAAGCCTTTGCTAATTTCTAGAGTGCTGAAAACATTGATTTTGAACATTTATGCTAGTGTTCTGAATGTTTTTTTTTGTTTTTTTTTTTTTTTATGGAGGAATGGATTTTCAGAGATCCTTCATCCGTAATTCTAAAAGTGCTTTTCAATCTGTCTGTTTTCAACTATTGTACATATTTTCTCTGATGTTTTTGATATCCAATGATGGTCTATTTATATTTATTGACAGCCATGAAGGTCCAGTCTTTGATTTCATTGAGAGCTGCTTGCGAAATAAACATGAAATGGTTATTTATGAAGCTGCTTCAGCTATCATTCATCTTCCTAACTGTACTGCAAGGGAGCTGGCACCTGCTGTTTCAGGTTGGTTATATATTAGATAGCTGGTTTTTGTTTCTATTCTTATGTTTGTTTTAAGCTCCAAAGGTCTTCAGGAGAGATATTAGGAATGATTTTTTAGTCTTAGCTCTGTATATATAGATAGTCTTTGCATTCTGATATGTAAATGATTGTTTTAGTTGCTTTACTTCTTTTTCTGAAGTTTTCCCATATAAAACATTTTAAAAATAATTTTAATGCCTTCAGTTATTTTTAATGTTTAAAAAACCCATTTGCACTGAAACTGGTTTGGTGCAGTGGATAGGGCGTCGGCCTGTGGACTGAAAGGTCCCAGGTTTGATTCCGGTCAAGGGCATGTACCTTGGTTGTGGGCACATCCCCAGTAGGGTGTGTGCAAGAGGCAGCTGATCGATGATTTTCATTGGTGTTTCTAACTCTCTATCCCTCTCTTTTCCTCTCTGTAAAAAATCAATAAAATATATTTTTAAAAAAACGCAAAACACACAAAAAATTTGCTGTTATAACTATAAACTAAAGGCCCGATGGATGAAATTTGTGCACTGAGGGGGGAGGGGAGTGTCCCTAAACCCAGCCTGCAACCTCTCCAATCTGGGACCCCTTGGGGGATGTCCCTCTCACAATCTGGGACTGCTGGCTCCCAATTGCTCACCTGCCTGCCTGCCTGATTGCCCCTAACCATTTCCCTGCCAACCTTATTGATGCCTAACTGCTCCCCTGCCAGCGCGATTACTCCCAACTGCCCTCCCCTACTAGCCTGATTGTCCCCCATTGCCCTCCCTTACTGGCCCAGTAACCTCCAACTGCTGGCTCAGTCACCTCTGACTGCCCTCCACTACCAACCTGGTCACCCCTAACTGCCCTCCCCTGCCAGCCTTGTCTCCCGCAACTGCCCTCTTCTGCAGGCCTGGTCCCCCACCCAACTGCTCTCCCCTGCAGGCCTGGTTGCCCCCAACTGTCCTCCCCTGCCAGCCTGGTCACCCTCAACTGTCCTCCCCTGCTGGCCTGATTGCCCACAAATACCCTCCCCTGGCAGCCATCTTTGGCCACATGGGGGCGGCCATCTTGTGCAAGGGTATGAGGGTCAATTTGCATATTACTCTTTATTATATAGGATAAGACATATTTGCTCTTATAAATATTCCTACCACTCATATACAGATGAGTATATCAATCCTTTGTATTCTCTATTTAAAGTTTTTATACCTCAGTGAAATGTGCTTTTTCTATTTTTGATGACACATTTTTCATGTGAAATTTTGATGCTGTGATCTAATTTCCTTATGCATATTTTGAATATGATTATTCATGCACTATATTTTCAAATATATGATGAAATGAACTATAGACACTGATCTTTTTTCTTTTCTAGTTCTTCAGTTGTTCTGTAGCTCTCCAAAGCCAGCTTTGAGATATGCAGCTGTGAGGACCTTGAACAAGGTAGGTCATTTATATCAATGTTTGATTGAGAAACATTAATTGTGAAGTATTTGGCTTTCTTTACAAAGTTAGCAAATATGATTTATTAGCTTTAGTTCTGTAGCATCTCACATATTTGTGGCCTTAGATATGGCCATTTTCATTGTCATTCATCTAAAGATTATAATTAATTTCTGACTTCTAAGCAATTTATAGTGCCACATTGTCCAATATGATGACCTTTAGCCAAAAGTGGCTGTTTCCTTTTAAATTAAAATGAAATAAAATTAAAAATTCAATTCCTCAGTTACTAGTCACACCTCAAGTGCTCAGGAGCCATATGTGGTTAGTGACTATCCCATTGGATCCCATAGTGTGGATATAGAACATTTCTATCATTGCAGAAAGTCCTCTTGGATATGCTGGTCTATAGTAGCACCATCCAATAGAAACAAAATGGAGTCACATACGAAATTTAAATTTTATAATAAACACATGAAAAAAATTTTTTAAAGATGAGATTAATTTTAATAATACATTTTATTTACCCTAATATATATATATTCTGTCATATTAATATGTAATCAGTATAGCATTTTAAAGATATATTTTGCCTTTTAGTTTTTTCATTCTAAATCTTACACACCTAGAGTTGTTTTAAAAAATATATATATTTACAGTATATCTCATTTTGAACTAGCCACATTTTAAATGCTTAATGTGGCTATTGACTACCATGTAGCATGGTTCTAGAGGCTACATTACAGAATAAATTAACCATAAATATTTTAAATGAAAATTTAATATAGTAGAATATTTGTCATAAGGTGGTTAGTGATTTGTTATGGGTTAATTATATGAACTATTGGAGGACAGAGAAGTTTAGTGTAGCCAAGGAATAGCAATGAATTGTATTCAGAGAGTTGGTATAGATCCACATTCCTTCATCTATGATCTTGGAGTCAGATTTGTCTTAGAATTCTCTATTTTGTGAAATTTAGAAAGGTTCTATGATGCTATCCCTTATATACTAACCCCCTTGAGCCTGTAGCTGTAACCCACCATTAGACACATTAAAATTTCTGCATGATACTTATGATTATCCTTGGTAAGTGGGATACATTAAGACTTAATTAGTTTTACAGTAGTTTGGGTCATATTTTGATGTTAAGTGAATTTTGAGGCAATACTTTGCTGTTTTCAGATTTTATTATTGCTATAGGCAGAGAGGCAAATGGCACCTACAAAAAGAAACAGAAGAATGGCAGACATGTTTTAGTGACCATGAGCAATCCAGTTTGGATGGAATTTGTTTGCTTAAATACAGAAGTGTTTTCTAAGTGATAAGATATTAACAGTCTTTGAGCAGTATTTACAACATGAGGTCCTATTTTCAGAGATCCTAACCTCTAGTCGAATAGATATCAATGTGCACAGGTACTGTAAGGAAAAACAGGCCAACTGTAATAAAAGACAAGACTGTAATATAATTAGAAAGATTATACAAACCTGGGAAGAAAAGTGCTATGCTGCTCAGTGACTATGATTGTTAATCATTTATCAAATGATATATCTTTTAAATTGGAAACATTCTTTTTGAAACAATTTTAACCTGTTTTGTCCCATTCAGGTTTTCAAAAGCCACTTACCTTAAGTTACAATTTCTGTTTCTCTCTCTTTTTTTAATTCTGGTTTTTATCAATAGCAATTTGCTTAATATTTTTCTTGCCCTTCCACAAGGTGGCAATGAAGCACCCCTCTGCTGTGACTGCCTGCAATCTAGACTTAGAAAACTTGATCACAGATTCAAATAGAAGCATTGCTACCCTGGCCATTACTACACTCCTCAAAACAGGATGTGAGAGCAGTGTAGACCGACTCATGAAGCAGATATCTTCTTTTGTATCTGAAATCTCAGATGAGTTCAAGGTAAGAGTTTAAGTATGATTGCGTTTTCTTCTAATTTCTATGGCTTGCCTCTTTTTTAACAATATCTTTTGATGAGCAAAAGTTTTAAATGTTTATGAAGTCTAATTTATTAATATTTTTTTGTTTCATAGTTATTGCTTTCTGTGTCCTGAGAAGCCTTTGACTATTTCTACATCTTAACGATATTTTCTTACATATTATTCTTAATATTTTGTGGTTTTAGCTTTTATATTTTAGTCTGTGATCTAACGAGTTAATATTTGTATATTGTGTGTGATAAGTTCAGTATTTTCGCATATCAATATCCAGTCATTCCAGCATCATTTGTTTAAAAGACACATTGGCATGCTTGGACATCTTTGTCTGAAAAGCAGATAACCATAGACTTATAGGTATATTTCTGGGCTCCTTATCATATTCCATTGATCTATTTATCAATATTATGCCAATACTCACTGTATTTTTTTATTTTTATAGTTTTATGGGTACCTCTTAAATGTCAAATAGTGAAGTAGTGTGGTCTTTCAACATTGTCCCTCTTTTTAGTATCTGGTTTCTTTGCATTTCCATATAAAATTTAGAACCATTTTATAATTTCTATAAAACAAAGCCTGTTAGGATTATGATTGGGGTAGTGTTGAATCTATAAATTAATTTAGGAAGAACTGACATTTTAATAGTATTAATTCTTCTAGTTCATGAATATGGTATACCTTCCTCTTTATTTAGGTCTTTATTCTGAGCAGTGTTTTGTAGCATTCAATCTAGAGGTCTTGTACGTCTTTTGTTGAATTTATATCTGAATATTTTATGCTTGAGACTCTTATTAAAATTTCTATTTCATTGTTTGCTACCAGTATATTAAAAAATCTCTCTTACTCTCTCTCTTTTTACTTTCTCATAACTTGGTATCCTTGTAAAGTACCCTTATCAGTTCTAGTAGTTGCTCTATACATCCCTTAGGATTGTCTATATATAATCATGTTATCTGTTAATAGAGACAGTTTTACTTTTTCATTTCCAATCCAAAAGCTTTTATTTATTTTTTCTTGCCTTATTAAAATGGCTAGTACTTCCAGTACAGTGTTGAATATAACTGTGAAAATGTGTGAGAGATAATCAGAAGAATAAAATTCAGGTAGAAGAATTAAAAGAGAAAAATGTTATTCTTTTTGTCTTATTTTCAAAGAGCACAATTGGCCCTATTTAGTTTCTTATAGGACATATCTAGTCTTTCAAAAGACAAGCCTAGTCTGTATATTTAAGCAGACATCCTGAATCTTTGGGAAACCTACGAAGGTCATTTTATAGTATAGCTTATTGCATGAATCTCCTGTACTTGAGCATTTGAGTTTGCAGTATTTTGCAATTACAAAGAATGCTTCAATGGATAACCTTGTGTATTTGTTTCCTTGAAATGTTAGCGGTGTATCGTTAGGGTTAATCCCTAGAAGTCCATATGCTAGGCTGAAGGGTAAATAAATATGCAGTTTTGTAGAGAAAGCTAAACTCTACCCACCAGCACTGAGTGAGTGTCAGTTTCCCCTTAGTCTCACCAATGGAGTGTGGTTACATTTTGATGTTTGGCCAACCTGATGGATGAGAAAGGGTATTTCAGTGTAGTTTTAATTTGGATTTATTTTGTTATGAGGGAAGTTAAATATCTTTTCTTATATTTTAGGATCATTTAAAATTTCTTTAAAATATTGTCTGTTCATATATTTTACCAATTTTTATAGGCATTTGGGTTTTTTGTTTCCTTAAAGGTTTTTTTTTATTTTTATTTTGGATGTATATTAGGGATATTGGTTCTTTATGAAATATGTTACATTTCTTCCCAGTTTGTCATTTGTCTTTTGTCTTTTGAGTTTTATGACATCTTTTGTCATGCAAAAGTTTATTTTGCTATAGTCAAATTTGTCAGTATTTTCTTTTGCGGTTCTGACTTTTGAATAATAGAAAGCCTTTCCTTTCGGATTATAGAATCTTAATGGGTGAATAAGAATTCACCCATGTTTTCTTCTGGTATGTTTGGTTTCATGTTTTAAATTTAGATCCCTGATCTGTTGGATTTTATTAAGTATGAAATGAGAAATGGATCTATTCTCATTCTTTATCAATAAGTATCCTGTTGCTTCTACTCCCAATTTTTACTCAATAGACTGTTTTTTGCTTGTTATTTAAAATACCACCTTTAACATATACTAAAGTATCATATGTACTTGGGTCTATTTTTGGGCTATCTATTTTATTATGTTGCTCTCTTTATTCATAAATCACTACCACATACTATTTTAAATATAGAAGCTTTGTAGATTATGTTAATATTTATTAGCTGCTTCTCATAATTCTTTATTTTCATTGTTTCTCTAGTTAGTCTTACGTGTATATTTTTCCTTATGAGTTAGTGTTAACTTGTCTAGCTTCATAAAAATATCTCATTGGCGTTTTTATTGGGATCACATTAATTTATAAATGAACTCAATGTTGAGACATTTTAACCAAGACAGGGATGACTTACAATTTATTCAAATCTACTTTTGTGCCTTTCAAAATATTTAATAGTATTTTTATATTAGTTTTGAAAGTCTTAAATGCTTTTCCTAATTATATTATCTTTTGTTGTTATGATATATGCTTTAACCCATTTTATCTTTTAACTAGTCATTTTTCTTGCAATGATTAGTATTGTTTTTTGCATTTTAATTTTATATCCTACTACCTTGTTGAATTAGTTTATTTAATATTATTATTGCTTCCCTAGGATTTCCAGATATATTGTCATATCACCTGTAAATAAAGATAGTTTTGTCTTTTATAATTCTTATTCCTCTAATTGTTTTCTCTTGTCTAATTGCATTGGCTAATAATATTAAATAATACTTGATAGTGGCATCCTTATATTATTTCTGACCTTAATGGTAATGACTTTTGGTATTCTCTTGTTTAGTAATATGCTAACATTAGGATTGAGGTGTGAGTGTGTAAAAGGAACTATCCATCCATTTCTTTTTTTTTCTTCAAGAATTTTTATTAGGAATGGGTGTTGGATATTTATCAAAGTCTTTTCAGCATCTATGGATATAATCATATGATTTTTCTTTACTGATTCATTAATATTTACATTATATTAACTATTAATTTTCTAAAGTTGAACCATTATTGCATTCTTGGTACAAATCCTATTCATCACGAAATATTATTTTCTTACTACAATGTTGGAATCTGTTAGCTAATCTATCACTTAGAATTTTTGCATCAATATTTATAAATGAGTTCCATCTAAATTTTTTCTTTTTGCATGTATACCATCTTTATTTTGTTTTGGTATTATTGCTTCATAAAAAAACAGGATGTTTGCTGTGGCCAGGTGGCTCAGTTGATTGGCACATCATCCCATACACTAAAAGGTTGTTGGTTCAATTCCTGGTTAAGGCACATTACCTAGGTTGTGGATTTGATACCTGGCAATAAGGGAGGAAACTGAATGATTGTTTTTCTTCATTTTCTATGTTTTGAAATGATGCGTATAGATTGTTTTGGTGCATAAGGGAGGAAACTGATTGATTGTTTTTCTTCATTTTCTATGTTTTGAAATGATGCGTATAGATTGGGGGACTCTGGTTGTTGAGAAACAATTCCCACTTCTCCAGGAGTTTTCTTACATTTTTGCACATCTTGCAAGTTAGGCTTTTGTTTCCTAGTGTCCCAGCTTTGTTCCCTTTTGTGTAGTGCAAGATATCTCCCATCCTTAGAAAATACATTGTCTCCCTGTGCAGGGCATATTTCCATACAGCTCTAGAAGACAAAGCTACTGTTTCCTATAGAACAAAAAGCATACTTGCTCACTGTCCACTATAAGAAAATGTTTCCCTTTAGAACAAAAGACCAGCTTGCTTATTGCCCATTGTAAAATATTCAAGTGCCATACCTCAGGGTTCTTCTCCTATAATGCAATCAGATCTGTAGGTCTCAGTGTTATCTGCCCTTTTTTGCATTGCCCTGTGGGGATTGGGGCTCAGGAAACTGATTCCAAATACTGGTACTGTAGCTACTGCTGTTGCAATGAGTAATTTACTGTCTTTCATCTCTAATCCTGGAGTCTTATGTTTTCTACTAGCATTAATGAAATTGTGGCAGGCTAACTTGTTAGCTTGCAAGTAGGGTAACATCTCACACCCTTCTCACTTGGCATTGGTCTTTAAAGTTGTGGTAAAATTGTTGCAGAATACCAAAGACAAACCAAGCAATGCTTTTAAAGAAGAGTAGTGATACTGTTTAATACACCAGTGGACTCAGGGAATAGCTTTCCAAATCTGAGTGAAGAAACATGCATGGGGCTTTCCTTTATATTTCCCTGTGGTCTTTGTCCCGCAAATATAGATTATGCTACCAGTCCTTTTCACAGGCCTTTCAAGAGGGCCCCCAGGTGTTGGGGGTCTGCAGGCTATATCTGATGGTCTGGCCTGGCACCAGCATTAATAACCCTCCCTCCGGAGCTGTGCACTGTTCACAGTAACAGGTTCTGCAAGACCAGTGTCTGGGAAGGAGGTAGTGACTTAATTATAGGTTATCAAGAATGTACACTGAGCTTACTGGCATGGATTCAGATCAACTAGCCCTAAATATCAGGGTTACATTGGAATTAGCCCTTTTTAGCCTTCTCAAAATTATCCTAGAAATTATTTTGTGAAGAAGTTCTATGGTAACATTTCTATTCTAAGGAAATCAGTCTAAGCTTTTAATCTTTACTGTTCACTTTAAAAATTTTTATGTGCTTATTTATTTGAAGCAAAGGACTGGGGTCTCTTGAATGAACTTTTTATTTTCCCTTGTGGTCTCCTGGCTTAGCCTTCATGAAGAACCATTGCAGTTTTAAATAACTACCGCACCTTCTTAGCTTACAGTAAATAAAGTACACTTAGTCTCTAAAGTTATAAAGATGAATGTCCTTTCTGTGTTGGTTTTTTTATGGGTGGTAGGTGTACAGTCATTATAAAGGTGAATGGCCTTTCTGTTTGTTTTTCTGCAGGTGGTGGTTGTACAGGCAATTAGTGCTCTCTGTCAGAAATACCCGCGAAAGCACAGCGTCATGATGACTTTCCTCTCCAACATGCTCCGAGATGATGTAGGTGGGCTTGTGTGTAATCATAGGAAGTTGCTCTCTTAAAATCTTACTATTCCCATTAAATGTCATAGTATTTAAAGCAGCATGTGTCTCTCAAATAGTGAGCTTACTTCTGGTTGCTGACTTATCATTACTAAACATGCTATTGCTCTAGCTTTCTCTGCAGAAAAACAAAACAAAACACTTCTGTTTCTTCCATGAACTGAAATGTTAATATTATAAGCATACTCCTTGGAATATAAGCATTTCTCCGAAAAGCATCCTCAGAACCAATGGCAGTCTTCTCTTTTGCCAGGGAGGCTTTGATTATAAACGGGCCATCGTGGACTGCATCATCAGCATTGTGGAAGAGAACCCTGAGGCTAAAGAAGCAGGTCTGGCCCACCTCTGTGAATTCATTGAGGACTGTGAGCACACTGTTCTGGCTACAAAGATTCTACACTTGCTGGGCAATGAGGGCCCCAGAACGCCTGCTCCCTCCAAGTACATCCGCTTTATTTTCAATAGGGTCGTACTGGAAAATGAGGCCGTTAGAGCTGGTAAGTCATTGGAACTCTGATAATGATGTAACCGCTGATCTTTTGAAATGCGTAACTCAAGGGGGTGATGATGACATTGGAAAATGAAGCTGCCAGGTCTACTTGATGGTGGGATCATGGAGCGTACTTAGGTCCTCGACATATAGCTCTTTCCCTCTAGTCCAGTGTCCATCCTGATTTCTGCCTTATCTTAGAGACAAATAACCCTTGACTTTCAGTATGACAGGAATATCATGATGGCATCATCTACTTTTTCAGTGTTACAGCCTTAAATGTGAATGAATGTCTGTGAAATTTATATGTGTCTATTTATTTTTAAGTGTCTTTTAAAACATGTCTTAGGCATATTTTTACTTCCTCCTCCCTAATGGTTTCTTCCTCTTAGCATATGAACAAGTCTAGATCACTTCTACTAAAAATATAAACCCTCCTTTGATCAGTTGTCTCTTATTTAGCTACTTCCTATACTTATCCTGTCTGATAAACTTGAAATAGCCATTCATATACTTATTTCCCATTTTCTTTTCAACTCACTATACTCTAACTCCCTTCCTTAGAAATCCTCTAACACTCTTTAAAATATATATATCACTTATAAGCTAGCTGGAAAATCAAGTTAGATACTGTAATGTTTTTATCTTTGTTCACCTCCCAGTCAGTTTAATGTACTATTGACTAAACTCTCCCTTGGCTTCCACCAACAGCCTACATCTTTCCATCACTCCTCGGTCTTATTTATAGGGCTTCTCTTCCATCCCCTAACACAATAATTTTCTTAGGGGTTTTTCTTCTTACTATACACACTTATTCTGGTGATCATTTTCAGAGCTCTATTTATAGGCAGTGACATTGCAGTCATGCCTCTTTCCTGAACTTTTATGTCCAACTATCTAAGGCACTTCTAATGCAGCTTAAAATTCAAGCTCACCCAAACCTTTATCATTCATTCTGCTGCAAAGGCAGAAACTTATTCTACTGTTTTATAATCTCCACCTGTTCTTTGGCAAAATACTATCAATTCCGACTCTTTAGTATTCCTTCATTCTCTTTTTCCTTTATTTTCATTGGTGCTGTTTTAGGCTCTCCAGTGCCAACTAGTGTGGCTGTTTCCAGTCTCATACAGATCCAGTCTGTACTCCACACTCTGCTACAAAAATGGACTTTGCATTTAAAATGTGCTTATAAATTTAGTGTACCTCACTTTGCTGCAAATACACAAATTCATCCTGTATTTAACATCCTGTGTAATAAAAGGGTAATATGCAAATTGTACCCTCGACAGGAATTCCACCAGAGTTGGACCAGGAGGCAAGGCTGGCCTGCCAACTGCCTGTGGCCCTCCCCCTCACCTCCCACCCTCACTCTGCACAAATTCATGCACCAGGCCTCTAGTCTATACTAATAATCTATATTAATAGAAAGGTAATATGCTAATTAAACCAGACATCTTTTGGACATCCTTCCGGATGTCCTTCTGGACAAAGCCATGGAGGTGGGGCTGAGCAGAGGCAGTTAGGGCGATCAGGCTGGCAGAACAGTTAGGGGTGATCAGGCAGGCAGGCAAAGGTGGTTATGGGTGATCAGGCAAGCAGGGGAATAATTAGGGGCATCAGACAAGCAAGCAGAATGGTTTAAGGGTGATCAGGCAAGCAGGTATAGTGGTTAGGGTGATGAGGCAGGCAGGCAGGTGAGCGGTTAGGAGCCAGTGGACCTGGATTACGAGAGGGTGCAGGCCAGGCCGAGGGACCCCCCCATCTTCTGTGCATGAATTTTGTGCACTGGGCCTTTAGTCCTTTAATAAGAACGGAAGCTAAACCACAACCTATTTTTGTTTTATCTTTAGTCTTACACTTGTCTCCTCCTGCTCTCAAACATGGGATCCTATTCTTCAGCCCTCCTCACCTGTGTCTAGATCAAATATGACACTTTTTTTCTCTGGACTGAGGGCCTTTGCACTTGTCATTCTCTCTGCCTTTAATACTATTTTCCTTTCATTTTCCTCTGGTTAACGCTACTTGTTCTTCAATATTTAGCTCAAGTTATGTGTTAACTTTTTTTCTTCACCAATCCTGTTTAAGTTTCTTTCTCTCTATTCACTTAGCTTCCAGGATATGGTTCTATCATGGACCTTTTTTAAAAAAAAAATTTCTTTATTGATTAAGGTATCACATATTTGTCCTCAACCCCCCATTCCAATCCCTCACCTCCACTCCCACTCTTGCCCCCCCCCCTCCATTGTCCTTGATCACTGGTTAGGCTCATATGTTTGCACACAAGTCATTTGGTTGATCTCTCCCTTTTATCCCCACCCTCCCTTTGAGGTCTAACAGTCTGACCCATGGCTCCTTATCTCTGGGTCTGTTCTTGTTCATCATGTTGTTCACCATTTCCCCTAGATGAGTGAGATCATGTCCTACTGGAAATATACTTATAAGAATCAAAAATGAAACAAGCAATAATCATTATGCTGAAAGGCATATGAATCAGTCTGTAGTGAGTTTCTTTCTGGTCCACCAGTTCTTTTGAGACCCAATTTCAATGTCAAACAGTTCCTTATGTGTACATGTCAGCAATGATATTTCAGTTCTGGATGTTGGGTATCATGGACTTATTGTGCTGTGTTGTAGTCATCTTTTTACTTACCTGTCATCCCACTAGAGTACAACTCCATGTCAGGAACTATTGCTTCTCTTTCTTTTCCCAGCACGTATCACAACTTCTTGCAAAAGTTATGTGAGCAATAAATCTTTATTGGATTAAGTGAATTTTAATAATAGAGCATATTTTTATGCTTCGAGTTGGTTGTTTGAGATTATGGCTTAATTATATCAGTGTGATATATAAGAGGGTGTAGTGGAAATGGAGGAGTGCTCATAAAATGAAATTTATGATTTTTTTCCTACATTGCATAGAGGATTTTTCTATTCATAGCTCTCTTGGGCCTGCAGATTTTTGTTTATGCTTAAATGGATCGAAGAAATAAGATCAAGACACAATAAAGCAATAAGAGTTTATCCCCTCTGAACATGGGTAAACTCTAATTTTTTGAATGATTATTACTTAATGCAAGATACCAATATTTATGTTGCTTCATTTTATGCTTCGTTATAGCTGCTGTGAGTGCTTTGGCTAAATTTGGGGCTCAGAATGAGAACCTCCTCCCAAGCATCCTTGTACTCTTACAAAGGTAAGAGTCCTTTTTTTCTTTTTTGGTGGGGGGAGTCTTTTTTTTTTTTTTTTTTTTTAATAAGAACTGCCATATGGCTGAATAGAGTCCTCATTGTACCATATCAAATGCATTGCAGGATCTAAGAATAGAGCTGATACAATGAGTGGGGGGCAAATGGCATTTTTGTTCTCTTCTAATTTTGTGTATGTTAAGTACATATAAAATTTGACTTGGAATTTCTCCTTGTATGAGTTTGAGAAAGTGACTTACAGGTATTTACCTCAATTTGTATATTAGGGGCTAACTTCAAAGTGATTCATTAAGTAGAGTTGCAAATTTTAGCTTCTCATGGTCTCTGTGACTTCCTATTTGATGAGTAAAAGACTTGATGTGAGCAAAAACTGTCATTATATCTTGTTATTAAAACATAAAAATTACAAACCAAAGGCTGACTGGTTTAAATGAACAATGCCTGGATTTTGAGTGGTTTTTAGTGTCATTAGAAAGTCTAACATTCCCATTTTTTAATTATAAAGAAGTCTAAGTCTTTATCAGGATCATGTGATTACAGACCCAAGAAAAGACTCCAAACTGCTATCTTAAATTATTGAGTTCTTCCTAATTATTTTTTAATTCTTTAATATTGAAAGTATTACATGTGTCTCTCTTCCCCCTCCCCGCCCTCCCCAGTTGTTTTCTCCCAGCCTGCCCCTGCTCCCCAGCCCCGGCCTTCACTGCCCCCCTCCAGTTGTCTTTATCCATTGGTTATGCTTATATGCATACAATTTATTTGGTTGATCTCTTCCCCGCTGTGGCACCCCCACCCCCACCTGCCACCCTCCCCTGCCTTCCCTCTGAGGTTTGAGGGTCTGTTTGATCTTTTTATGTCTGGGTCTATTTTTGTTTGTCAGCTTATGTTGTTCATTATATTCTACAAATGAGTGAGATCATGTAATACTTATCCTTCTCTTCCTAATTATTTTAATGCCTACTTATATAGTGCTTATTTACCAATTGAGATCAATGCCCAAAATTTATGGTGATTTTAGGATCCTCTGTTGGCTGTTGTTGAGTTCTTTTAAATAAAGGTAGTGGTGTCACATGGCCTGATTATGTTCTTTAAGCATGGTGGTAAAGCTCTTGGTAATCTTTAGAGTGCTGTTTGACATGCCTATTTGTGTTCTTTGGACAGATGTATGATGGATACTGATGATGAGGTACGAGACAGAGCTACTTTCTATCTGAATGTACTACAGCAGAAGCAGATGGCATTGAATGCTACATATATCTTCAATGGTCAGTGAGAGTCATGAATGTAGACAAATATACTTTTGGTATCTTGGAAGCATATCATAAGATGATTTGCATGTGACTTGACTAAGCAAAATGCTTGTTTTATGCCTTTGACTGTATTTCCATTTCTAGGGAAATCTAAAGTATATAAAAGCCCAAAGAATATTGGTTGCTCCTTATCCTCCTCAAGCTCCTTCTTAGATGAATTTACCCTTTCTCCCATTTCTTATGCTACTAGAGGCTCAGTGCACAAAATTTGTGTACTGGGGGGAGGGTCCCTCAGCATAGCCTGCATCTTCTCAAGTCCAGAGCTCTTGGGGAATGTCCAACTGCCGGGTTAGGCCCAATCCCTGGGGAGTGGGCCTAAGCTGGCTGTCTGGGAGCCCTCACTTACTACTGCCTACCTGCCCACTACTCCTTATCGCTCAGCTCATTGCTCCTTAGCGCTGCCACGGAAGCCAAAGAGGCTCCTGCCACCGTTGCTGTGTTCACCAGCTGTGAGCCCAGCTTCTGGCTTAATGGCACTCCCCCTGTGGGAGCGCACTGACCACCAGGGGCAGCTCCTGCATTGAGCGTCTGCCCCCTGGTGGTCAGTGTGCTTCATAGCGACCAGGAGTTCTGATCATTTTGCTGTAATGGTCTCTTAGGCTTTTATTATATAGATATTTTGATCATTGTTCCCAAATGGCTAAGTTGCTCTCTTTTATGGATGGTACTTATATTTTGTTGAAAATTTTTATGCTCTAGTTGACAGGGAACTCCCATGCTTCCTTGGGTGAAATTATAAGAAAGTTTTATGTAATAGCCTTTACTTTTAATTTCTTATGCTATAAAGTCTGTGGTTATATTTCCCCCTCCTTCAGAAAGAGTAGATAAACAGTGTAAATCTGGGCCTATCTGGATCCTAGCATTGGCAAGAAGTTATAATGCTGAGATTTCTCCATTTCATAGGTCTGACAGTGTCTATACCAGGGATGGAAAAAGCTTTACATCAGTATACATTGGAGCCTTCAGAAAAGCCCTTCGACATGAAATCTATTCCTCCTGCCAATGCTCCTGCCTTTGAACAGAAAGCAGGTAAAACTCTTAGTGTTTCTATGTTTAAATAGTGTTATTAGCACATTTCCTCTAATACATCTTTTGTTCACTTAATTGTCACTCTGTATTTCTAAATCTTTTTAGAAGTGTGTTGGATGATATTTTAAGTTAGGTTTTAAATTATTTTCCTGGTTTTCACATAAAGCTCAAATATGAAGTATGGCCAGATTGAAAGTTTTTTCTTTTTCCATGCTCAGTATTGCAGCACTGAAGTTAGCTGTCACTGTGTGTCTCAGAGCAGCAATTGTGCTGTTACCTCCTGTTTTTATTTTCTGAAGTTGGTAATTTCTTAATTTTACTATTGGAAGTTTGTCTTGAAAGAATGTATGGGACAAGATCATAAAAAATGTTCCCAAGGGGTAGCAGAAGAAGAAGAAGAAGGAGGAGGAGGAGGAGGAGGAGGAGGAGGAGGGGGAGGAGGAGAGGAGAGGAGAAGAGGGAGGGAGGGAGGGAGGGAAGGAGGGAAGAGCGGGAGGCAGAAATGTTTAGTGGTCAGAACTGAGAAAGAATATTCTTAACTTTGAACCTTTTCAGTTTTTCTGTTGATACTATATAAGTAATTTTTCCTGTTTGAATCATGAGAAGACTTGTTTTATAAATAGTTCCTTCTTTTAAGAATTTTTTGTACATTCTCACCCATTTAAAGCAAATACTATTTTTAGGGCTTAGTTTATTATATCGCAAAATATGTTCACTAAATACATTTTAATTTGAACATCTCTCTAAAAAAAGGTGAAGAAGCCTACTGGTGTTTTTAGCAATGGATTCTTTTATGTAGGCTAGAAATTTCTGCCCTGATGTCTTACTGTCTGCATTTTCAACTTGATAGTGGGAGGAAAACTCACTTGATTGCTCATATCTGTCTTTTTAGAAATCACACTTGTGGCTACTAAGTCAGAGAAGTTGGCTCCTTCCTGGCAAGACATTTTCCAAGGTATGATAAATTGATGGGTAGAAATAATAGTCTACACTATAGGCATTATAAATATAACGAAGTGCACTACTTTCATTCAGTTTGATGAATTTCCAGTGCAGGAAATCTTTGTGTGGTTGAATATTTGTTGTTATAGGTTAGTTGCTGTTACAGGCTATAGTTGCTGGGGCTATCTATCTGAAGTCCATGGGGCGTTACAGTTGCCATAGCTAATGTGCTAACTGGGAATGTTGTTCTTCATAACCTAGTTGACAGGGAACTCAAATTCTAAGAAATTAGGAATAGATAGTTTTGTGCTTTTAGTAATTGGGTATATAAACTCATAAAATATTAATTTATTAAAGCTTGGGGATATATCAGAGTTTAATTATTAGTTAGGTAATGGGAACTTAAAACATTGTAAGCATCTAGAATAATGTCCTAGATTATTCTTATTTTGGGTCATCATCTCATCTTGTTTTCTTTATTTCCTTTTTTCTTGATAGAACAATTGGCTGCTATCCCTGAGTTTATGAATCTGGGACCCTTGTTCAAATCTTCTGAGCCTGTTCAGCTTACAGAAGCAGAGACCGAATACTTTGTTCGTTGTGTCAAGCACACGTTTACCAATCACTTTGTGTTCCAGGTGAGATAAGTTCCCTACCCAGTCTCTATGGGAGTTTACTGGACTTGGAGAGTATTAACTCCCTTGTAATTGTGATTCTAGTAGTTCCTTTTATAGAGAAGGAAAAGAACTTGGCAGCATTTCTGGTTTTCCTTCCCATGGCTACAGAGATGCCTTCGTATGATGGGTTAAAAACTAAAAGGACTTAAGGCTATCCCTATTACCTAAAGAAAAACCTTAGGAGGAGACCTGCAGTACTGTTTGGAGAGGAAATGTTGGTGAATTCCAGAACTGAGTTATGTGTTATGGGTAGGAAGGAACAACTTGCTTGCAAACCTTTCTTATCCTTCATAATGTTTTTCTGTTTGCTGACTTTTCAGTTTGATTGTACCAACACTCTTAATGACCAGCTACTGGAGAAAGTGACAGTGCAGGTGGAACCATCAGATTCCTATGAAGTGCTGTGTTGTATCCCAGTCCCCAGCCTCACTTATAATCAACCAGGAATATGTTACACTCTTGTTCGTTTGCCTGATGATGACTCTTCAGCAGGTACTAACCCGCAAAAGGGAAGAGATACTTCCGTGATTAAGAATGCATTTCCACTTGAGCTCTTAAATGTCTGGACAACTTTTGGGGTTCAAGAATATGGTTCTTCTCTAGAATTAAATGTAATGACAGTGATGGTGTATTTATAGTTATATAATCAGTGCTGCAGAAATGTTATTTATAACTAAACCTCTAAGTAAAATTTGCTGGATATTTAATCTTAAAGGAGAAACTGAATGCGTACAAGGGTAGCCCCAGAAGGACTGCAGGCTTTCTGGTAGAACAGTGTAACCACTGATAAGGGTTCCTCTGCCTGATGTGTCCTAGGAAGGAGCACGACTCTCTTCTCCCTGGTGTTTCTTTCCAGGACTTTGTAAGGGTTTTTTATTAGTAGATTCATGGCATTTTAAAACATATTGTTTGTGAGGGTCTGCCAGCAGTCGCCAACCTTTCAAACCTCACGGACCACCAGTGGTCCACGGACCATCAGTGGTCTGTGGACCACCAGTTGGTAACCACTGCTATACCATAAGGCTGGCATCTAAGAGTATGTCTCAGTCCAGTAAATGTCCACGTTGTGTGTGTCCACGTTGAAAAAAGGCTTTATAATTCTTTCCTTGATTCATGTGGAGTCTGGGTAGGAATGGGGTGGGTAGCGTCTAGTGCCCATAATAGTATTTACAGGTTTGGGGATTTGAGGTCTTCTGACCTATCTCTTGCAAATGTCTAGTGTGTGTTGTGCTTGATGATATATTTTTCCCATTTTCCCACCTGAGTGCTTCTTCTCTTTCCATATTCACTAAGGAGTACTCACAATGGTTACCTGGTTTTCACAGAAATATGCACACACATTGCATTTATGTTTTAAACAACTTTTATTAGTAGTACTGGAAAAAACACTTTTTACTTCTAGTACAGGAAAAAGCAATTTTTACTTCTAGTACAGGAAAATACAATTTTTTACTACTAGTACAGGAAAAACAATTTTTACTACTGATACAGGGAAAAAAATTTTACTAGTACAGGAAAAACAACAGATAATAGTTAACAAATATTGAGGAAGGTACACAGTTACAAGAAATCGTAAAAGTACTAGTGAATTGTTATCTCTGGTCATCATTCAATTACATTAGGGACTTACCCTGCCTTTTAGCCCCTTTCCAAGCTCCCTTTTTAAATGTTAGTTCTGGGAACCCCTGCCCAATCGTATCTGTGTTGGATGATAGACCAGGCTACTCACTCTAGCACGAGGTAGATTCAAATTGGCACAGTTGCTGGGTCTGAATCCCAGGTTGTTCACTCTGACCCTGGGGTGCAGCCACCCTGGATCCATAACCCGCTGGGTTAGGAAGGCACTTTCCTATCTGGCCTCTAGGATTTCTCCTTCAAGCTCGAGGCCGTCCAACTTTAACCTTTCATTACCTCCCTTATCCCTTAATGAGGTTTCTCTTGTTCGATTCCCTTTTAGCTTCACTTTCTCTCCTGGTCTATTTCCCTCTAGTTAGACTTTTCTAAAGTTTGCCCACCAGCCAGAAACATAGTTAGCTGTATCTTAAGTAAAAGTAGTTTTATTTACTCTTGTTCCAAACCAGTATTTGGGCCCAGTCTTAAAGTAGTCCTGTGGCTTCTGTCACCATCCTGGGATAATCTGCACTTTTATCAGTTTTCTCAGGTGGTCTCCTCTGCTTATTTCCTAATTATTCCTCCTGTGGTGCTTCTCACCAAGCTTCTGCTTTTTTAAGAAAAGCCATTACTTCACCACTTAATTTTAAAGGGAAGCAAAATGCTTGAACCCATCGAAGAATCAAGCTTTTCCCAAATGAGAACACTAGCTCTTCCCTTTCCAGGCTCACTTGGATAACTGATAACTTGAGTGCCTCACAGACCCCAGGGAATGTCTTAACAGAATACAGTAAATACAATTTTACAATATCAAAATACATAAAACAACAGCATTGAAATTACTGCAATCACATACAGTTCAGGAGGAAATAACAACAATAACAACAACAACAAACTTTTCTACTAAAAGAATAGGTATAGGGGAGGTTTTTCTGACCCCTCTGTAGTGAGGGGTTAATTTCTTTTAAAAAATGTGTATATTACAAATTAGCCCAGGGGTTTCAACCTTTGATCTGCTGGCTGTGGGCTCTTTTGCTTAATGGTTTATATTTTATTAATAAAAATTTGGCATTTGGAGATTTTTTTTTCCTATTAAATTCAAAGGGTTTGTTGATTTGATGCTTAAAGTCCATTATAATCTCTTGTGATCCCATCTTGGAGAAAAGTCTCAACACTTGGGCTTTTCAAACTGCTTTATATTTGACCCATCAGATCTATCTGCTTAAAAACAAATTCCTTTCTATTCCTTTGTTTTTGTCAGAAACTCTAAAATTTTTAATCTATGGCCAATCCAAAATCTTTGCTGTACAATGAATAGAAATAAAATACCAGGACATAGATAGTAATAAAAGTCTTTTACCCATCCCTTCCTTTTCCCATTGCAAATATTCCTATCACCTGAATATCTACACATCACCTCTACTTTGTCTCATCTCAGAAAATAAACTTTCCTTATAATCAAAAGGGGGGAAATAAATTATATAGATCATGATTTCCTTCAACTTGAAAATTATATAGCATAATAGAAAGAAATATAGGTAATAGAGCTACACAAATTGGGTTTTGAATTCTTACTCTGCTCCATATAGACTGTGTAACCTTGGACAAGCTATTTGACCTCTTTAAACCTTTCAGGATTGTTGAAAGGGTGAAATATCATTAAATAAATTTATTAGCATAGTGCCAGACATGTAGTAAATACTCAATAAACAGGAGTTATTTTCGGTTCAATTCTGGAACTATCTACTTTCTTCCTTTATCCTCTTTAAAAATTAAGTCTTCCACAGTTGAAGAGACACACTCCTTCTAATCTCATCTAGAAAATTATTCAATTATTCTTGCCTTTGCTGTGTCTTTAAACTTTCCCATTCTCCCTTACTTGATAAGTGTACCAAAAATTCTACACCATCTGAAAAAAATGTGCTTTAACCCAACACCAAGATAGCACCATAACTCCTTCCTTCAATTTATAGGCAGTTTGTGGAAAGAGTAAGTCTCAATTCAATTAGTCCTACTTTTATATTCTAGCCTTTAACAATTACTGTTTTACTCATAAATTTTAAGAAAAACATTAAGGCAGCATTCTTCCTTAGCAACCTTTCTTATTCAGAAACTTAACTTTCTTCTTAGTAGTTATTACATCTATAACAATATATATAAGCAACAGTCTACAAAATTCTCCTTACTTTGGATCTCTTCTCTATTTTAACTTTGTGTCCCATTACCTATGCAGAACTGTTCTAATCCCTATATTGCTTTTATTATGGGACTATCAGGCCTGACTGCATTATATGTCTCATCTCAAAACATTTCAGCAAACTTAAATAACTCATTTAAAGAGTCTTCAATAGAAAATATACATACTAAGAAAAAGGTATATACTATATCAAAATGAGTTGCTTTGTTTTTTATTAGGGATGCTGCCTCCCAATTAACAATGCATTACTCTTTCATATATACTTTAGTTCTCAATTTTCTTCCTACACTTCTGTAAACCTCCACGTAAATTTAACCAACTATAGGAATGTGATAGAAGCTAAATTTTTTTCTGAATCTGTAGACTGTTCATTATTTGTTGTTCAGGTTTAACCATATTAACTCCTGACACTCAGTATTAAATCTACACCTTGAATTAAGGAATTGATCTCAGAGTTTTTTTTTTACTTTGACTCATCTCCATCTTCTCACTAGGATTCATATTAATGACCCTTGGTAAAATTTACGTTCTGTAGAGATAAAGCACATAATTTCAATTTTTAATCACATGTTAGAAGGATAGAACATTACTTTTACCACAACTTCCCCTGCTTTTAACACTAGAATTTGTATCACTCTAGCCTTATATCTATATTCCTCCAATATGACCAATTAGAAAACTGAACAAGATTCCCAGATTAAAACCTCCATGTTCATCTACCCATTCATCTTGTAACCAATCTGCCTTTCATCAACACACAGGAATTTCTAATATTACCATCACACACTCAACTTGTCACCTTTTGGTATAATTCTTGCCCCTATAGCTCATAACTACGAGTTTGACACCATAGCATTCAAATGGGAACTGAACAACTGGCTATTAACATACCTCCCCTTTGACAAAACCAGGCATATCTTTCCCAGATGCAAATTCTTCAGTGCAATCTCCGAACCGGGCTGGCCATGCTTTCTGCCACAACAACCATAAAATATTCCCTTGTCCCAGCAGGCACACATAACAAGCCCTTAACTGCTGCAACTCCCTATTCACTCCAGGCGAATCCCTGGGTGCCACCCCCTATCCTTCCAGGACATTTGGCTACATCCATTGGCTCACTGTCAGCCTAGTTCCACGGTCCTTTGACCCTATTCTGACGATCTTGACTCTCATGCCTCCATCTCTACCACTCAGGGGCCCCTCTGCTCATGCTTCACCTCTCTGCCCAGGTCTCCTCTCTGCCACTTCCACGCAGTGATTCTCACCCGAGGGTGCATGACCCCCCAAGGCGGCCTATCAGCAACATCTTTGGGTATTCTTTTTTTCTAGAATTTTTTTTTTTTGGGGGGGGGTTTTGTGGTTTGCAGCAGTGTGCTGCTCCCCCTTCGGATGTTGTGATAGGCCTCCCTCGGGGGTCGTGCCCACCCACCCCACCCCCCTGGGGGGAAATCCCCTCCCCCCTCCCCCACCCCCCCCAGGGAAGAATCACTGCTGTGGAAGCCCATCCTGACTCCTGGGCCGCACTCATCCTTGGGCCCCTAGCCTTCCATTGACACATTTTCCTCAAAGGTCCCAGCATCGGCACCATTCCCACACTGTCCGGACACTGTCCTCTTGCACACACCCCATTCTTGTCCAAATGCCAGTCTGAAGAGACACTCTTATTGTTCCTCACGCCACAACCACAATCCCAATGCACGCACACACATGAGCTACTCGTTCCTCCCTAACTTTATGACTCTCCTGCCTTGTGGAAGTACCTCTTGTCCACAACTTGGACCTTCTCAGCACACGATATTATCCCTTTCCTCGTCCCAGAGCCCTGGCAAGATCCTTTCACAGAGCCTTCCTGGTCCCCGGGAGTTCCAATGCCTGGAACAGATCGTCTGGTCTTTGCTCTGCTCAACTCTGTTCCCACCTTACTTCCTCAGTTAGATTCATGCTTCCCTTCTGCAGACCTGAGCTCTATTGCCATTACAATATTGATATCTTTTTAATAACCCCACCATTCGATTTTACTCTGTGATTTCCAAACCTCAGTGCTCTCATATTCTTGCGAGTCTAGACACGTGTTCTATGCCAGCTGGTGGCCATCTCCTTTGCAGTCATTTCCATTGACCCAACTCTCAAACCCACATATATCGTCTCACAGCTGTCTGAGATTCCAATATCTCTCCCTTTTCCTCTCGGTCTCTGTCTCTATTTCTCTATCCCCCTTGGTGGAAATTGACACTAGCTAATGCACTCGTGATGTTTTCCACCCTTGGTCCAGCAACCCTCCCCTTAACTTCAAACTCACATCGTACTTCTACTATGACCTGATGGTCAGGTGAAGGATTGTTTGGTCCTTCCATGACCTGTGCACTTCTCCTCAGTAGCAGTCTGCTTTCCACCATTGCAAGCAATTTTTCCATAAGAGGGTTTTTCGGACTCTATCTGCTGTACCAAGGGCCTTACCTTTTTGGGTCCACCATTAAGAAATGGTGGTAGCTTACCTGCCTTCTCTGTGACCTCTCCTCACCTCGCCAAGTCAAGCATTGAGGGAGTGCTCCTAGACTTTTCCAAGTGCCAATTTACAACACCTCATCCTTCTGTGACCTCATCCCACCAGGCGGCATTGCTCTTTTGCCTTTTCCAATACTCTGTGATCTTCCCCTGGGTGGGTTACTACACACACAGGTATCACTCCGGGGCTTAGACATGCTGCCTTCTCCAAGTGGCCTTCCATGTTGCCCTTTTTGCCATTCTTTCAGTGCAGAGCGTTGTTCCTCTGTTCTTTCTCACTCTTTTCCCCTTGGAATTTTCCCCTTTACTATGCTCTCCCAAAGTTGGAATCTGCTCACCTGATGGCCAAACTGTTAGCAATGGGGTCAACATCTATCCTGCTTTACATGTCTACCGCATACCTAGCAAAACAAATGTCCTTCCTATGCCACGTGACTTTTCTGCAGTCACAGTCTTTGCCTCTCCTGGCTGAAACCCGTCATGTAGTGTTCTGTGTGCTCCTTAAGTCATTGCCCACCTTCTTCACAGCCCAGTGCAGTCTCCTTGGCCTCCGTATACTGTCCTGCATCAGCATGTTTGCCCAATGCCCTCTGCTCACATCCTGTGAACCCGCAGTGTGACTTCCTCCCTGGAGGCAAACATGGTTCCCAGTAAGCTTTCCTTTCTCCACCGGGACCCCTCTGTTGCACATTCCTGGGACGCTGCCCTTGGGGAGCCTGTTCCGATCATTCCCCTACCTCTGCTTTATCAGTCTAGGTCAGTGGTTCCAACCGTTCTCAGTGGGACAATTTGGAAGAACGGGGCCTGATTTGAGAAGGAGTTATTAAGGGTGCATTTCTTGCACTACTTGTGGTTCTAGAGGCATCAGATACAAGTACATCATAGAAGTATCTGTGGTGACGTATTGATGCAGTTCAGTTCTCCGTGATAGGTTTTAAAAGATGATTTGTTCCAATTGGATATCACTTGGAAATGTGATTTCTTTTTTTTAAATTTTGGGGTTATTTCTTCCTCGATTCTTCAAGTGTCCTTTTGTTCTTTCATTTTTCTCTTTCATGGGTGCCATGTTCTTTGGAAGATTATTTAGACCAAGTCAGTGGCCTTTGAGGTGTCCTCCAAGCCAATAGGAGTTTACATTTGGAATAATGGCAATTATAAGTCACGGGCGGGGGCAAGCATCAGGATTTTAGAGATGCTTAGGAGGGGCGTGGGCAACAAAAGGTTGGGAACCTCTGCTCTGGGTCTTTGGCCTTCAGCCCTCTGTCTTGTCCCGTGCCTGCTCAGCCATGCCTGACACCATGGCGCTCAATCTCCTCGTGCACACAGCTCTCCACTGGGTCTCGCCTTGCCCCCTTCTAGAAGCTCTCCTTCCTCTGCCAGCCATGGGGTCTCTCCCAGATGATCTCCAGTCCCAGCTGGGCCTTGCTTCTGCTCTCTGGCCCTCCACGTGCTCTGTGACCGCATCGGTCCGCCCTAAATTCCCCGTTGGTCACCTGTGTCTCCCTCAGCCTTTCTCCTCAAGAGGCCTCAGTTGCAGGAACAAAGCTTGGTGCTCCACTCCCTACTCACTCCAGGTGAATCCCGGGGTGCCACCCCCTATCCTCCCAGGACATTTCTTGGCTACATCCATTGGCTCGCTGTCTGCCTGGTCCAGGGTCCTCTGACCCCATTCTGACATTCTTGACTCTCATGCCTCCATCTCTACCACTCAGGAGCCCCTCTGCTCATGCTTCACCTCTCTGCCCAGGTCTCCTCTCTGCCACTTCCACGCAGTGATTCTCACCCGAGGGTGCATGACCCCCCAAGGCGGCCTATCAGCAACATCTTTGGGTATTCTTTTTTTTTAGAATTTTTTTTTTTTTTTGGGTGGGTTTGTGGTTTCGAGCAGTGTGCTGCTCCCACTTCGGATGTTGTGATAGGCCTCCCTCGGGGGTCGTGCCCACCCACCCCACCCCCCTGGGGGGAAATCCCCTCCCCCCTCCCCCACCCCCCCCAGGGAAGAATCACTGCTGTGGAAGCCCATCCTGACTCCTGGGCCGCACTCATCCTTGGGCCCCTAGCCTTCCATTGACTCATTTTCCTCAAAGGTCCCAGCATCGGCACCATTCCCACAATGTCCGGACACTGTCCTCTTGCACACACCCCATTCCTGTCCAGATGCCAGTCTGAAGAGACACTCTTATTGTTCCTCACGCCACGACCACAATCCTAATGCACGCACACACATGAGCTACTCGTTCCTCCCTGACTTTATGACTCTCATGCCTTGTGGAAGTACCTCTGTCCACAACTTGGACCTTCTCAGCACACGATATTATCCCTTTTCTCTACCTCATTCCTCCTGCCAGAGCCCTGGCATGATCCTTCCACACAGCCACGGTGGTCCCCAGGCTTTTGCATGGGCCACTTCTCCACACCTCATCCTCCTGGGACCTCATCCCACCAGGCCGGCATTGCTCTTTGGCCTCACCCACTACTCTGTGAGCTTCCCCTGGGTGGGTTCCTTCACATTCAGGTGTCACTCAGGGGCTTAAGACTTGCTGCCTTCTCCTAGTGGCCACCCATGTTGCCCTTTTTGCCATTCTTTGCTTTGGGTGCAGTGCGTTGGTTGGTCTCCCTGTCCTTTCTCACTCTTTTTGCCCCTTGGAATTTGTCCCCTCTACTACTACGCTCTCCCACAGTTTGAATCTGCTCACCTGATGGCCTAGCTCTTGGCACCGGGGTCATCATCTATGCCGCTTTGCTTGTCTACCGCATACCTAACAAGACAACTGTCCTTCCTGTGCCACGTGACTTTTCTGCAGTCACAGTCTTTGCATCTCCTGGCTGAAACCCGTCATGTAGTGTTCTGTGTGCTCCTTAAGTCATTGCCCACCTTCTTCACAGCCCAGTGCAGTCTCCTTGGCCTCCGTATACTGTCCTGCATCAGCATGTTTGCCCAATGCCCTCTGCTCACATCCTGTGAACCCGCAGTGTGACTTCCTCCCTGGAGGCAAACATGGTTCCCAGTAAGCTTTCCTTTCTTCACCGGGACCCCTCTGTTGCACATTCCTGGGACGCTGCCCTTGGGGAGCCTGTTCCGCTCATTCCCCTACCTCTGCTTTATCAGTCTAGGTCAGTGGTTCCAACCGTTCTCAGTGGGACAATTTGGAAGAACGGGGCCTGATTTGAGAAGGAGTTATTAAGGGTGCATTTCTTGCACTACTTGTGGTTCTAGAGGCATCAGATACAAGTACATCATAGAAGTATCTGTGGTGACGTATTGATGCAGTTCAGTTCTCCGTGATAGGTTTTAAAAGATTATTTGTTCCAATTGGAAATCACTTGGAAATGTGATTTTTTTTTTACATTTTGGGGTTATTTCTTCCTCGATACTTCAAGTGTCCTTTTGTTCTTTCATTTTTCTCTTTCATGGGTGCCATGTTCTTTGGAAGATTATTTAGACCAAGTCAGTGGCCTTTGAGGTGTCCTCCAAGCCAATAGGAGTTTACATTTGGAATAATGGCAATTATAAGTCACGGGCGGGGGCAAGCATCAGGATTTTAGAGATGCTTAGGAGGGGCGTGGGCAACAAAAGGTTGGGAACCTCTGCTCTGGGTCTTTGGCCTTCAGCCCTCTGTCTTGTCCCGTGCCTGCTCAGCCATGCCTGACACCATGGCGCTCAGTCTCCTCGTGCACACAGCCCTCCACTGGGTCTCGCCTTGCACCCTTCTAGAAGCTCTCCTTCCTCTGCCAGCCATGGGGTCTCTCCCGGATAATCTCCAGTCCCAGCTGGGCCTTGCTTCTGCTCTACGGCCCTCCACGTGCTCTGTGACCGCATCGGTCCGCCCTAAATTCCCCGTTGGTCACTCGTGTCTCCCTCAGCCTTTCTCCTCAAGAGGCCTCAGTTGCAGGAACAAAGCTTGGTGCTCCTCTCCCTACTCACTCCAGGTGAATCCCGGGGTGCCACCCCCTATCCTCCCAGGACATTTCTTGGCTACATCCATTGGCTCGCTGTCTGCCTGGTCCAGGGTCCTCTGACCCCATTCTGACATTCTTGACTCTCATGCCTCCATCTCTACCACTCAGGAGCCCCTCTGCTCATGCTTCACCTCTCTGCCCAGGTCTCCTCTCTGCCACTTCCACGCAGTGATTCTCACCCGAGGGTGCATGACCCCCCAAGGCGGCCTATCAGCAACATCTTTGGGTATTCTTTTTTTTTAGAATTTTTTTTTTTTTTTTTTTGTGGGTTTGTGGTTTAGAGCAGTGTGCTGCTCCCACTTCGGATGTTGTGATAGGCCTCCCTCGGGGGTCGTGCCCACCCACCCCACCCCCCTGGGGGGAAATCCCCTCCCCCCTCCCCCACCCCCCCCAGGGAAGAATCACTGCTGTGGAAGCCCATCCTGACTCCTGGGCCGCACTCATCCTTGGGCCCCTAGCCTTCCATTGACACATTTTCCTCAAAGGTCCCAGCATCGGCACCATTCCCACAATGTCCGGACACTGTCCTCTTGCACACACCCCATTCCTGTCCAGATGCCAGTCTGAAGAGACACTCTTATTGTTCCTCACGCCACGACCACAATCCTAATGCACGCACACACATGAGCTACTCGTTCCTCCCTGACTTTATGACTCTCATGCCTTGTGGAAGTACCTCTGTCCACAACTTGGACCTTCTCAGCACACGATATTATCCCTTTTCTCTACCTCATTCCTCCTGCCAGAGCCCTGGCATGATCCTTCCACACAGCCACGGTGGTCCCCAGGCTTTTGCATGGGCCACTTCTCCACACCTCATCCTCCTGGGACCTCATCCCACCAGCCCGGCATTGCTCTTTGGCCTCACCCACTACTCTGTGAGCTTCCCCTGGGTGGGTTCCTTCACATTCAGGTGTCACTCAGGGGCTTAAGACTTGCTGCCTTCTCCTAGTGGCCACCCATGTTGCCCTTTTTGCCATTCTTTGCTTTGGGTGCAGTGCGTTGGTTGGTCTCCCTGTCCTTTCTCACTCTTTTTGGCCCTTGGAATTTGTCCCCTCTACTACTACGCTCTCCCACAGTTTGAATCTGCTCACCTGATGGCCTAGCTCTTGGCACCGGGGTCATCATCTATGCCGCTTTGCTTGTCAACCGCATACCTAGCAAGACAACTGTCCTTCCTGTGCCACGTGACTTTTCTGCAGTCACAGTCTTTGCATCTCCTGGCTGAAACCCGTCATGTAGTGTTCTGTGTGCTCCTTAAGTCATTGCCCACCTTCTTCACAGCCCAGTGCAGTCTCCTTGGCCTCCGTATACTGTCCTGCATCAGCATGTTTGCCCAATGCCCTCTGCTCACATCCTGTGAACCCGCAGTGTGACTTCCTCCCTGGAGGCAAACATGGTTCCCAGTAAGCTTTCCTTTCTCCACCGGGACCCTCTGTTGCACATTCCTGGGACGCTGCCCTTGGGGAGCCTGTTCCGCTCATTCCCCTACCTCTGCTTTATCAGTCTAGGTCAGTGGTTCCAACCGTTCTCAGTGGGACAATTTGGAAGAACGGGGCCTGATTTGAGAAGGAGTTATTAAGGGTGCATTTCTTGCACTACTTGTGGTTCTAGAGGCATCAGATACAAGTACATCATAGAAGTATCTGTGGTGACGTATTGATGCAGTTCAGTTCTCCGTGATAGGTTTTAAAAGATTATTTGTTCCAATTGGAAATCACTTGGAAATGTGATTTTTTTTTTACATTTTGGGGTTATTTCTTCCTCGATACTTCAAGTGTCCTTTTGTTCTTTCATTTTTCTCTTTCATGGGTGCCATGTTCTTTGGAAGATTATTTAGACCAAGTCAGTGGCCTTTGAGGTGTCCTCCAAGCCAATAGGAGTTTACATTTGGAATAATGGCAATTATAAGTCACGGGCGGGGGCAAGCATCAGGATTTTAGAGATGCTTAGGAGGGGCGTGGGCAACAAAAGGTTGGGAACCTCTGCTCTGGGTCTTTGGCCTTCAGCCCTCTGTCTTGTCCCGTGCCTGCTCAGCCATGCCTGACACCATGGCGCTCAGTCTCCTCGTGCACACAGCCCTCCACTGGGTCTCGCCTTGCACCCTTCTAGAAGCTCTCCTTCCTCTGCCAGCCATGGGGTCTCTCCCGGATAATCTCCAGTCCCAGCTGGGCCTTGCTTCTGCTCTACGGCCCTCCACGTGCTCTGTGACCGCATCGGTCCGCCCTAAATTCCCCGTTGGTCACTCGTGTCTCCCTCAGCCTTTCTCCTCAAGAGGCCTCAGTTGTAGGAACAAAGCTTGGTGCTCCTCTCCCTACTCACTCCAGGTGAATCCCGGGGTGCCACCCCCTATCCTCCCAGGACATTTCTTGGCTACATCCATTGGCTCGCTGTCTGCCTGGTCCAGGGTCCTCTGACCCCATTCTGACATTCTTGACTCTCATGCCTCCATCTCTACCACTCAGGAGCCCCTCTGCTCATGCTTCACCTCTCTGCCCAGGTCTCCTCTCTGCCACTTCCACGCAGTGATTCTCACCCGAGGGTGCATGACCCCCCAAGGCGGCCTATCAGCAACATCTTTGGGTATTCTTTTTTTTTAGAAATTTTTTTTTTTTTGGGGTGGGTTTGTGGTTTAGAGCAGTGTGCTGCTCCCACTTCGGATGTTGTGATAGGCCTCCCTCGGGGGTCGTGCCCACCCACCCCACCCCCCTGGGGGGAAATCCCCTCCCCCCTCCCCCACCCCCCCCAGGGAAGAATCACTGCTGTGGAAGCCCATCCTGACTCCTGGGCCGCACTCATCCTTGGGCCCCTAGCCTTCCATTGACACATTTTCCTCAAAGGTCCCAGCATCGGCACCATTCCCACAATGTCCGGACACTGTCCTCTTGCACACACCCCATTCCTGTCCAGATGCCAGTCTGAAGAGACACTCTTATCGTTCCTCACGCCACGACCACAATCCTAATGCACGCACACACATGAGCTACTCGTTCCTCCCTGACTTTATGACTCTCATGCCTTGTGGAAGTACCTCTGTCCACAACTTGGACCTTCTCAGCACACGATATTATCCCTTTTCTCTACCTCATTCCTCCTGCCAGAGCCCTGGCATGATCCTTCCACACAGACACGGTGGTCCCCAGGCTTTTGCATGGGCCACTTCTCCACACCTCATCCTCCTGGGACCTCATCCCACCAGGCCGGCATTGCTCTTTGGCCTCACCCACTACTCTGTGAGCTTCCCCTGGGTGGGTTCCTTCACATTCAGGTGTCACTCAGGGGCTTAAGACTTGCTGCCTTCTCCTAGTGGCCACCCATGTTGCCCTTTTTGCCATTCTTTGCTTTGGGTGCAGTGCGTTGGTTGGTCTCCCTGTCCTTTCTCACTCTTTTTGCCCCTTGGAATTTGTCCCCTCTACTACTACGCTCTCCCACAGTTTGAATCTGCTCACCTGATGGCCTAGCTCTTGGCACCGGGGTCATCATCTATGCCGCTTTGCTTGTCTACCGCATACCTAGCAAGACAACTGTCCTTCCTGTGCCACGTGACTTTTCTGCAGTCACAGTCTTTGCATCTCCTGGCTGAAACCCGTCATGTAGTGTTCTGTGTGCTCCTTAAGTCATTGCCCACCTTCTTCACAGCCCAGTGCAGTCTCCTTGGCCTCCGTATACTGTCCTGCATCAGCATGTTTGCCCAATGCCCTCTGCTCACATCCTGTGAACCCGCAGTGTGACTTCCTCCCTGGAGGCAAACATGGTTCCCAGTAAGCTTTCCTTTCTCCACCGGGACCCCTCTGTTGCACATTCCTGGGACGCTGCCCTTGGGGAGCCTGTTCCGCTCATTCCCCTACCTCTGCTTTATCAGTCTAGGTCAGTGGTTCCAACCGTTCTCAGTGGGACAATTTGGAAGAACGGGGCCTGATTTGAGAAGGAGTTATTAAGGGTGCATTTCTTGCACTACTTGTGGTTCTAGAGGCATCAGATACAAGTACATCATAGAAGTATCTGTGGTGACGTATTGATGCAGTTCAGTTCTCCGTGATAGGTTTTAAAAGATTATTTGTTCCAATTGGAAATCACTTGGAAATGTGATTTTTTTTTTACATTTTGGGGTTATTTCTTCCTCGATACTTCAAGTGTCCTTTTGTTCTTTCATTTTTCTCTTTCATGGGTGCCATGTTCTTTGGAAGATTATTTAGACCAAGTCAGTGGCCTTTGAGGTGTCCTCCAAGCCAATAGGAGTTTACATTTGGAATAATGGCAATTATAAGTCACGGGCGGGGGCAAGCATCAGGATTTTAGAGATGCTTAGGAGGGGCGTGGGCAACAAAAGGTTGGGAACCTCTGCTCTGGGTCTTTGGCCTTCAGCCCTCTGTCTTGTCCCGTGCCTGCTCAGCCATGCCTGACACCATGGCGCTCAGTCTCCTCGTGCACACAGCCCTCCACTGGGTCTCGCCTTGCACCCTTCTAGAAGCTCTCCTTCCTCTGCCAGCCATGGGGTCTCTCCCGGATAATCTCCAGTCCCAGCTGGGCCTTGCTTCTGCTCTACGGCCCTCCACGTGCTCTGTGACCGCATCGGTCCGCCCTAAATTCCCCGTTGGTCACTCGTGTCTCCCTCAGCCTTTCTCCTCAAGAGGCCTCAGTTGCAGGAACAAAGCTTGGTGCTCCTCTCCCTACTCACTCCAGGTGAATCCCGGGGTGCCACCCCCTATCCTCCCAGGACATTTCTTGGCTACATCCATTGGCTCGCTGTCTGCCTGGTCCAGGGTCCTCTGACCCCATTCTGACATTCTTGACTCTCATGCCTCCATCTCTACCACTCAGGAGCCCCTCTGCTCATGCTTCACCTCTCTGCCCAGGTCTCCTCTCTGCCACTTCCACGCAGTGATTCTCACCCGAGGGTGCATGACCCCCCAAGGCGGCCTATCAGCAACATCTTTGGGTATTCTTTTTTTTTAGAATTTTTTTTTTTTTTTGGGTGGGTTTGTGGTTTAGAGCAGTGTGCTGCTCCCACTTCGGATGTTGTGATAGGCCTCCCTCGGGGGTCGTGCCCACCCACCCCACCCCCCTGGGGGGAAATCCCCTCCCCCCTCCCCCACCCCCCCCAGGGAAGAATCACTGCTGTGGAAGCCCATCCTGACTCCTGGGCCGCACTCATCCTTGGGCCCCTAGCCTTCCATTGACACATTTTCCTCAAAGGTCCCAGCATCGGCACCATTCCCACAATGTCCGGACACTGTCCTCTTGCACACACCCCATTCCTGTCCAGATGCCAGTCTGAAGAGACACTCTTATTGTTCCTCACGCCACGACCACAATCCTAATGCACGCACACACATGAGCTACTCGTTCCTCCCTGACTTTATGACTCTCATGCCTTGTGGAAGTACCTCTGTCCACAACTTGGACCTTCTCAGCACACGATATTATCCCTTTTCTCTACCTCATTCCTCCTGCCAGAGCCCTGGCATGATCCTTCCACACAGCCACGGTGGTCCCCAGGCTTTTGCATGGGCCACTTCTCCACACCTCATCCTCCTGGGACCTCATCCCACCAGGCCGGCATTGCTCTTTGGCCTCACCCACTACTCTGTGAGCTTCCCCTGGGTGGGTTCCTTCACATTCAGGTGTCACTCAGGGGCTTAAGACTTGCTGCCTTCTCCTAGTGGCCACCCATGTTGCCCTTTTTGCCATTCTTTGCTTTGGGTGCAGTGCGTTGGTTGGTCTCCCTGTCCTTTCTCACTCTTTTTGCCCCTTGGAATTTGTCCCCTCTACTACTACGCTCTCCCACAGTTTGAATCTGCTCACCTGATGGCCTAGCTCTTGGCACCGGGGTCATCATCTATGCCGCTTTGCTTGTCTACCGCATACCTAGCAAGACAACTGTCCTTCCTGTGCCACGTGACTTTTCTGCAGTCACAGTCTTTGCATCTCCTGGCTGAAACCCGTCATGTAGTGTTCTGTGTGCTCCTTAAGTCATTGCCCACCTTCTTCACAGCCCAGTGCAGTCTCCTTGGCCTCCGTATACTGTCCTGCATCAGCATGTTTGCCCAATGCCCTCTGCTCACATCCTGTGAACCCGCAGTGTGACTTCCTCCCTGGAGGCAAACATGGTTCCCAGTAAGCTTTCCTTTCTCCACCGGGACCCCTCTGTTGCACATTCCTGGGACGCTGCCCTTGGGGAGCCTGTTCCGCTCATTCCCCTACCTCTGCTTTATCAGTCTAGGTCAGTGGTTCCAACCGTTCTCAGTGGGACAATTTGGAAGAACGGGGCCTGATTTGAGAAGGAGTTATTAAGGGTGCATTTCTTGCACTACTTGTGGTTCTAGAGGCATCAGATACAAGTACATCATAGAAGTATCTGTGGTGACGTATTGATGCAGTTCAGTTCTCCGTGATAGGTTTTAAAAGATTATTTGTTCCAATTGGAAATCACTTGGAAATGTGATTTTTTTTTTACATTTTGGGGTTATTTCTTCCTCGATACTTCAAGTGTCCTTTTGTTCTTTCATTTTTTTCTTTCATGGGTGCCATGTTCTTTGGAAGATTATTTAGACCAAGTCAGTGGCCTTTGAGGTGTCCTCCAAGCCAATAGGAGTTTACATTTGGAATAATGGCAATTATAAGTCACGGGCGGGGGCAAGCATCAGGATTTTAGAGATGCTTAGGAGGGGCGTGGGCAACAAAAGGTTGGGAACCTCTGCTCTGGGTCTTTGGCCTTCAGCCCTCTGTCTTGTCCCGTGCCTGCTCAGCCATGCCTGACACCATGGCGCTCAGTCTCCTCGTGCACACAGCCCTCCACTGGGTCTCGCCTTGCACCCTTCTAGAAGCTCTCCTTCCTCTGCCAGCCATGGGGTCTCTCCCAGATAATCTCCAGTCCCAGCTGGGCCTTGCTTCTGCTCTACGGCCCTCCACGTGCTCTGTGACCGCATCGGTCCGCCCTAAATTCCCCGTTGGTCACTCGTGTCTCCCTCAGCCTTTCTCCTCAAGAGGCCTCAGTTGCAGGAACAAAGCTTGGTGCTCCTCTCCCTACTCACTCCAGGTGAATCCCGGGGTGCCACCCCCTATCCTCCCAGGACATTTCTTGGCTACATCCATTGGCTCGCTGTCTGCCTGGTCCAGGGTCCTCTGACCCCATTCTGACATTCTTGACTCTCATGCCTCCATCTCTACCACTCAGGAGCCCCTCTGCTCATGCTTCACCTCTCTGCCCAGGTCTCCTCTCTGCCACTTCCACGCAGTGATTCTCACCCGAGGGTGCATGACCCCCCAAGGCGGCCTATCAGCAACATCTTTGGGTATTCTTTTTTTTTAGAATTTTTTTTTTTTTGGGGGGTGGGTTTGTGGTTTAGAGCAGTGTGCTGCTCCCACTTCGGATGTTGTGATAGGCCTCCCTCGGGGGTCGTGCCCACCCACCCCACCCCCCTGGGGGGAAATCCCCTCCCCCCTCCCCCACCCCCCCCAGGGAAGAATCACTGCTGTGGAAGCCCATCCTGACTCCTGGGCCGCACTCATCCTTGGGCCCCTAGCCTTCCATTGACACATTTTCCTCAAAGGTCCCAGCATCGGCACCATTCCCACAATGTCCGGACACTGTCCTCTTGCACACACCCCATTCCTGTCCAGATGCCAGTCTGAAGAGACACTCTTATTGTTCCTCACGCCACGACCACAATCCTAATGCACGCACACACATGAGCTACTCGTTCCTCCCTGACTTTATGACTCTCATGCCTTGTGGAAGTACCTCTGTCCGCAACTTGGACCTTCTCAGCACACGATATTATCCCTTTTCTCTACCTCATTCCTCCTGCCAGAGCCCTGGCATGATCCTTCCACACAGCCACGGTGGTCCCCAGGCTTTTGCATGGGCCACTTCTCCACACCTCATCCTCCTGGGACCTCATCCCACCAGGCCGGCATTGCTCTTTGGCCTCACCCACTACTCTGTGAGCTTCCCCTGGGTGGGTTCCTTCACATTCAGGTGTCACTCAGGGGCTTAAGACTTGCTGCCTTCTCCTAGTGGCCACCCATGTTGCCCTTTTTGCCATTCTTTGCTTTGGGTGCAGTGCGTTGGTTGGTCTCCCTGTCCTTTCTCACTCTTTTTGCCCCTTGGAATTTGTCCCCTCTACTACTACGCTCTCCCACAGTTTGAATCTGCTCACCTGATGGCCTAGCTCTTGGCACCGGGGTCATCATCTATGCCGCTTTGCTTGTCTACCGCATACCTAGCAAGACAACTGTCCTTCCTGTGCCACGTGACTTTTCTGCAGTCACAGTCTTTGCATCTCCTGGCTGAAACCCGTCATGTAGTGTTCTGTGTGCTCCTTAAGTCATTGCCCACCTTCTTCACAGCCCAGTGCAGTCTCCTTGGCCTCCGTATACTGTCCTGCATCAGCATGTTTGCCCAATGCCCTCTGCTCACATCCTGTGAACCCGCAGTGTGACTTCCTCCCTGGAGGCAAACATGGTTCCCAGTAAGCTTTCCTTTCTCCACCGGGACCCCTCTGTTGCACATTCCTGGGACGCTGCCCTTGGGGAGCCTGTTCCGCTCATTCCCCTACCTCTGCTTTATCAGTCTAGGTCAGTGGTTCCAACCGTTCTCAGTGGGACAATTTGGAAGAACGGGGCCTGATTTGAGAAGGAGTTATTAAGGGTGCATTTCTTGCACTACTTGTGGTTCTAGAGGCATCAGATACAAGTACATCATAGAAGTATCTGTGGTGACGTATTGATGCAGTTCAGTTCTCCGTGATAGGTTTTAAAAGATTATTTGTTCCAATTGGAAATCACTTGGAAATGTGATTTTTTTTTTACATTTTGGGGTTATTTCTTCCTCGATACTTCAAGTGTCCTTTTGTTCTTTCATTTTTCTCTTTCATGGGTGCCATGTTCTTTGGAAGATTATTTAGACCAAGTCAGTGGCCTTTGAGGTGTCCTCCAAGCCAATAGGAGTTTACATTTGGAATAATGGCAATTATAAGTCACGGGCGGGGGCAAGCATCAGGATTTTAGAGATGCTTAGGAGGGGCGTGGGCAACAAAAGGTTGGGAACCTCTGCTCTGGGTCTTTGGCCTTCAGCCCTCTGTCTTGTCCCGTGCCTGCTCAGCCATGCCTGACACCATGGCGCTCAGTCTCCTCGTGCACACAGCCCTCCACTGGGTCTCGCCTTGCACCCTTCTAGAAGCTCTCCTTCCTCTGCCAGCCATGGGGTCTCTCCCAGATAATCTCCAGTCCCAGCTGGGCCTTGCTTCTGCTCTACGGCCCTCCACGTGCTCTGTGACCGCATCGGTCCGCCCTAAATTCCCCGTTGGTCACTCGTGTCTCCCTCAGCCTTTCTCCTCAAGAGGCCTCAGTTGCAGGAACAAAGCTTGGTGCTCCTCTCCCTACTCACTCCAGGTGAATCCCGGGGTGCCACCCCCTATCCTCCCAGGACATTTCTTGGCTACATCCATTGGCTCGCTGTCTGCCTGGTCCAGGGTCCTCTGACCCCATTCTGACATTCTTGACTCTCATGCCTCCATCTCTACCACTCAGGAGCCCCTCTGCTCATGCTTCACCTCTCTGCCCAGGTCTCCTCTCTGCCACTTCCACGCAGTGATTCTCACCCGAGGGTGCATGACCCCCCAAGGCGGCCTATCAGCAACATCTTTGGGTATTCTTTTTTTTTAGAATTTTTTTTTTTTTTGGGTGGGTTTGTGGTTTAGAGCAGTGTGCTGCTCCCACTTCGGATGTTGTGATAGGCCTCCCTCGGGGGTCGTGCCCACCCACCCCCCCCCCCTGGGGGGAAACCCCCTCCCCCCTCCCCCACCCCCCCCAGGGAAGAATCACTGCTGTGGAAGCCCATCCTGACTCCTGGGCCGCACTCATCCTTGGGCCCCTAGCCTTCCATTGACACATTTTCCTCAAAGGTCCCAGCATCGGCACCATTCCCACAATGTCCGGACACTGTCCTCTTGCACACACCCCATTCCTGTCCAGATGCCAGTCTGAAGAGACACTCTTATTGTTCCTCACGCCACGACCACAATCCTAATGCACGCACACACATGAGCTACTCGTTCCTCCCTGACTTTATGACTCTCATGCCTTGTGGAAGTACCTCTGTCCGCAACTTGGACCTTCTCAGCACACGATATTATCCCTTTTCTCTACCTCATTCCTCCTGCCAGAGCCCTGGCATGATCCTTCCACACAGCCACGGTGGTCCCCAGGCTTTTGCATGGGCCACTTCTCCACACCTCATCCTCCTGGGACCTCATCCCACCAGCCCGGCATTGCTCTTTGGCCTCACCCACTACTCTGTGAGCTTCCCCTGGGTGGGTTCCTTCACATTCAGGTGTCACTCAGGGGCTTAAGACTTGCTGCCTTCTCCTAGTGGCCACCCATGTTGCCCTTTTTGCCATTCTTTGCTTTGGGTGCAGTGCGTTGGTTGGTCTCCCTGTCCTTTCTCACTCTTTTTGCCCCTTGGAATTTGTCCCCTCTACTACTACGCTCTCCCACAGTTTGAATCTGCTCACCTGATGGCCTAGCTCTTGGCACCGGGGTCATCATCTATGCCGCTTTGCTTGTCTACCGCATACCTAGCAAGACAACTGTCCTTCCTGTGCCACGTGACTTTTCTGCAGTCACAGTCTTTGCATCTCCTGGCTGAAACCCGTCATGTAGTGTTCTGTGTGCTCCTTAAGTCATTGCCCACCTTCTTCACAGCCCAGTGCAGTCTCCTTGGCCTCCGTATACTGTCCTGCATCAGCATGTTTGCCCAATGCCCTCTGCTCACATCCTGTGAACCCGCAGTGTGACTTCCTCCCTGGAGGCAAACATGGTTCCCAGTAAGCTTTCCTTTCTCCACCGGGACCCCTCTGTTGCACATTCCTGGGACGCTGCCCTTGGGAGCCTGTTCCGCTCATTCCCCTACCTCTGCTTTATCAGTCTAGGTCAGTGGTTCCAACCGTTCTCAGTGGGACAATTTGGAAGAACGGGGCCTGATTTGAGAAGGAGTTATTAAGGGTGCATTTCTTGCACTACTTGTGGTTCTAGAGGCATCAGATACAAGTACATCATAGAAGTATCTGTGGTGACGTATTGATGCAGTTCAGTTCTCCGTGATAGGTTTTAAAAGATTATTTGTTCCAATTGGAAATCACTTGGAAATGTGATTTTTTTTTTTACATTTTGGGGTTATTTCTTCCTCGATATCTTCAAGTGTCCTTTTGTTCTTTCATTTTTCTCTTTCATGGGTGCCATGTTCTTTGGAAGATTATTTAGACCAAGTCAGTGGCCTTTGAGGTGTCCTCCAAGCCAATAGGAGTTTACATTTGGAATAATGGCAATTATAAGTCAACGGGCGGGGGCAAGCATCAGGATTTTAGAGATGCTTAGGATGGGCGTGGGCAACAAAAGGTTGGGAACCTCTGCTCTGGGTCTTTGGCCTTCAGCCCTCTGTCTTGTCCCGTGCCTGCTCAGCCATGCCTGACAACCATGGCGCTCAGTCTCCTCGTGCACACAGCCCTCCACTGGGTCTCGCCTTGCACCCTTCTAGAAGCTCTCCTTCCTCTGCCAGCCATGGGGTCTCTCCCAGATAATCTCCAGTCCAGCTGGG